ACCAATTCTTGTTTTAAAGCATGGTTGTGCAATTAATTTGTTTGCATACATCTTATGATAGTGGTTTAATCCCGAATAAAAGTTACAAAAAATGTTAAAATCACTTCTTTTCTTCCTTTCTTTCTATTCATGTTTCCTAACTCCTTTCACTGTTTTTCACACTTTTTTTTTCAGTTGTCTGATTAAAATAGTTTATAACTCTGATGCACATTAATTTCAAGACTAGTGTTTGTGTATGTAATTTTATGATAATGAAATCTTATTCGAATATTTAAGCAGATAATATCTGTATTTAATTTTTATTATAAAGCTTATCCACAATATTTACTATGCAGATTTATTATTATTTTTTCATAATTTTTAAAAGCACTTTGATGTATTAAAGCTTTCCATCTCTCTCGTGATTTCCTCAGCATAAAAATTATTAAAAAATGAAACGACATGGAGCTTCAGTATTGGCGATTACCATGCAAGAGTATTGGCGATTACCATGCAAGGCCAAAGACAACAAATCTTATCTAAGCTAGCAACTTGGTAATGTGGTGTCGAGAGGTAGAACACGCTCTGTCTTACAATTTAAAGACCTCATCTTAAATAACCATTAATCTAAATACATCATCTAAAGACCTCATCTCAAATACATGCGATCTAATTTCCATTCTGACATGGTAACGGAAGGAAGAAGACTATAACATTACAAACTATAACATTACAAAATCTTATAATATGGAGAAGAAAACTTTAAATGGGTCGGAAAAAAAGAAAGGAGAAAAAAGAATTATGCGATTCTTTAGAATGGGCAATGAATAAAATCAAAACTGCTGATCAGTATTTCCAAGTTGAAAATTCTAGTCAAGAAGAATCTTCAACTTTGAGCTCGTTGGAACAGCCATCAGAAATTAGCGAACATTGAAATGCAGCATCAAGGAGTTCAAAATACAGTTTCAAAAATTAAAAAGGTACCAGAAAATATTTCGACTGAAGTCAGTGAAGAAGGCGAACTATCAGAAAATATTTCAACAACAGTCATAAATAGTTCACAACAGTCATAAAAGGTCAGAAAATTTTCCAACCGCTCTTGGAAGCCATCCGATTTTGGTCATTATCCTGCAATTCTTACAAAGGATAAGAAGAGATTTATTTTAAATTTTGGTCTTTTTTGACCAAACGATACCGACGTTCCCAACAAATCAAGGCAGCAGATCGTTTTCTTCTGCTTATTATGCAATGATTAATAACTCTGTTTTAGAGATAGACAGAGTTTGGCTTCGTTATTCACTTGAACTTAACAAAGACTATTGCAAACCGTATTGGTTAATTTCAAATAAAGACAGGTCGACAGGAATACAGCACTGGCAAACATTGTCCATGAGAATAAAGCGCGAGGTAAGTTCTCGTCGTATCGCAAACTAGTCTGAAAAGAACAATTGGGAAGCAAATAACTGTATTGATCAAATAGTGGAAAAATCTAAAAGATGCAATCACTTTCAGTTAGTTTTAGAGAGACTAAATCAAGAGAACTGTAATATTATCGAAAAACAACAATAGTTTTCTCAGACACAAAGAAAGTACCTCAGATACATACATAGGTAATTTTTAGCTGATGTCAAATTATTGTCAGAATATGACATTGTGATGAATGAAGTTGCGTAACGTCTATATGTATGAACATAATAAAGGAGAAAGATTGTAAAATGGGTTTAAATCGGATTGAAAACCGAAACTGTTAGTTAACCAGCGGAGATTATACTAAACTAAGTCATTCTGAATCAAGCTTTCATCTTGAATACATCGCATTCTGCCTCTCGCTTCTCTGTAGTTAACTCGTTTGCCACCTGCAGCTCTTTATTTCAACGAAATCAACTGCAATAAAGATGTAAAAAAGGCACAAATGTGATCAAGAGTGGGCACGCAGTTTGTACCCATTGCACCGTATTATATGTACGAAGGCTGCGCTTCTCAATAAATAAAAAATAGTTCTATTGGCCAGCTTTGGGTTGGTTTTATTTGATTCCGACAAAGCACAAATTAATTTCCTCCAAATAAATAATCATCTATTTGTGAAATTTTATTCTTACAAAAAGTTTTTTTATCCTTTCTCCGGAATGTTGGAAATATAAATTTTTTGGAAGCAGCTTATCCTAAAATTATATTAAACACTAAAATCATTAATAAATGAAACGGATTTGGCTTAATTAGTAAACGAACGATTTCTGGATGATTCGAGAAGGAATTTTTTATTGGTATCCTAAAAATGGATACAGTGTGATTCAAAAATATTTAGCAAAAGTGTAAACGCAGATAGAAAAGTGTAAGCGCAGAGGAATGCAGATTTTATAATGGAATGTGTGCGCTGAAATGGCGCGTTGAAGTGCCTTAAGCCTTTGAGTGGTAAAATCATTCTATTTACATACATCGTTATTTTCTACGTCATCTTCGAGTAGTATGCAATTCAGTATTGAGCATTTCGTTTCTATACTTTATATCGTTTAATATTTAGCATTCTGTACATATAGCTAAAGAAATATGGAAACTATTTTTGAAAGGAATTTAATTTTTATTTGAAATTTTTTAAAAATTTTTATATTTACTCAAAATGTATTGTTCAAAAGATTTTCGGAAAAACCTGCAAAACATTTTAAATTCAAATTTTATTACTTTTGAAATAACATCCGTGTGAACACTTATATGTGCCTCAACATTCCTAACGTGTAACAGATATCAAAATAGGCTGCAGCATTCCCTATTTTATATCGGTCGTATACTATCGATCCCATTCTTTTCGACAATTAATGTTAAAACCGTAGAAGTATATTTGTTAAAAAGAGAAGCAGGGTCAGAAGGTGAGACGTTCGGTAATAAAATGGCATGACAAGGATGTGTTTTCGATCAAAGAAACTCAAGCTTTTTTGCTCAAACGCCTTTTGTTAAAAATGAGACAACGCACCTGAATGGTCGAAAGGTGCTTTAATTCCTTCCCACTATTATAGCGTGAACTAACATGCCTATTCGAAGATGTTATATACTCACGTGGAAGATATTATACACTTAGTTCACTCACCTGGCTTTTCCATTAAGAAGAACATTAAGATTTTTTTTTTTTTTTTTACTTTGCGTTCACATTCTATTATGTAAATTGCACGTCTTGTATAAGATTTCGATTTATTTTACGATACAGTAAGCAAGAATAATTGAAAATAGCAAATGTTTTCCTTACGTGAATAGTCAGTCATCTAGCATGGAAATTATTCGAAAGGTTTTAAGCAACGAACAGAAATATAATTGATTAAAATCCTGTAAATTTCCCACACCATTGTTGAGTATAATTGGTATAATAATCGATTAAAACAACTAAATAAAATTGATTAGTTATTTAATGTTATTAGCATTAAAAGGTTAATTCGAAATGAAAAAATATTTTGCGATTAATAATAAGCATTTCTTTATAGCTATGAAGAAGATACAAGCTAGTCTGAAACTTAAAATAAGATAAATTTCAGCCTTGGATAGACACTGGGTTATAAGATAAATTATATACATTTTAAAGGACGCAGACCTGGCTTCTTCTTTCCAACCAACACTTCATCTTTTCGATCTTCTACGAAGAGAGGCCCGTATCAGTCTTTCTCCCTGCAGTAATTCCAATATCAATCTGATGTTGAATCTATATATATAAAGAAGAAAGTCTGCTTGTTTGCTCGCTAATAACTTAGTCACTACTATCCTCAGCAAACTTTCTGCCATTCTTTTCTGGATCCCGGAAAAGTCGACGTCCACTTTTTCCAAAAGAAAAAATAATAATAATAAATAAGATCACAGATATTAATTAAAAACTCGGAAAAACGATAATTTTCGCCCTCATTTTTCCAAGTGGCAACAGTCTCGCAAGCTGGGGATGAAAATCTGCTTCATTTCGAAAGTTGTTGCCACAGCACGCTTTCAAATCCTAGAATTTGAAAAAAAGAATTCTAAGTTTTACGATGAAATAAAAATAGCATTGCCAAATATTAAAATACATTATTAACGACTCCAAAAATCCGTGGGAAGCCATTTCGACTATTCCCATCTTCGAACGACTTTATAAGACGAAATATTAATTAAAAACTCTGAAAGCGCTCATTTTTGCCCTCATTTTTCCGAGTGGCAATAGTCTCGCTCGTTGGAGATAAAAATGTTTTATTTCGAAAAGTTTTGCTACTGCTCGCTTTCACAGCGTATAGTTTGTAAATAAAAAATTTGTAAGTTTTACAAAATCTGTACATATAAATAAGAATGTAGGCTGGGTGTTTGTTTTTCGCGTTATTGATTTTTGATCGATTATGATAAATTTTTTGCCACATTTAATCGCCTAAAATTGAATAGGCGAAATATTAGATGGAATGTAAGCTTTTACGACCATTTGATTAAGAAGGCGAAAATCATTAAAAACTGCATGCCGTTGTTGCTGATATAATGAGAGAGAATTAGCTTATTTTTCTATGGAAATTTTTTATGCGAGTCTCATATCGCATCAGACTGAAAAATGTATGACTACGAATATGGTTATTAGAGAAGGATTACAGCGGTATCGTTCTCTCTTTAAGTGCATTAGTCTCAGTCTAGCTTAACTGGCATCAGGTGCTTCCACTTGTTTTGTAATATTTTAAACTAAAAAAAAAAAAAAAAAAAAAAAAAAAAAAAACATCTTTGGAGTTATAGACAAGTTTGCACATGCGCGATATTTTATTGAAAATTATTCCATTAAAATATCATATACCATTCTATATTGCACAGAATTTTCGTTTTATTCGTATTTTCTACTTATATAAATTTCCTATTAATGTATATTTTCTGCTACCGTTGTTTATTTATTATTTATTGTTTAATCTGTACATAATTTTTAGTTATTTGTTTATTTATATTTCTTTCTTTATTATTATTATATTTCTTTTTGAAATGGACTTTTACTTACACTAAAGGAAAGGTAACTCAACGCGTGAGCTTCTCTTCTTTTCTACCAGGTGGCTGCACCTCCGAACCGCGGCCTTGTTTGAAGAACTGCGAGGAACTAGGCGGTCGCTGTGATCCTTCAACGGGACTTTGTCACTGCCTGGATGCTAAGGGACACGTGGTATCGAGTCCGTCCTCCGATTATTCTGAGCGATGCGTAGTCATGAGCAGGGGTCCACATCCTCCAGCCAACCATTCCGCGCCCACACCAGAAATACGCCTCAAGTATTATCCAGGTGAGAAAACACTGTTTTCGGTTAATGGCATGTTTGTGGAAATAGTTTCGGTATAGAATGATCAAGAACAGAAGATGATAAAATAATTTCTCATCACGTCAGATCAAATGAATGAATAGAATTTTACTTTTGATATTATAATGTGAAAAATGCCAAAGTTTGATCGCGAGAAAAATTGTCTAACATCTGCGGGATAAGAAATGAAAATGAGTGAAACTTTCCACTGCTTGGGATTTACGCTATCATTTCGCGAAAAATTTCATTTTCGAGAATTTACTCTTAATATTTCGAAAGCAGTCGTGTATCAGAAACGGAGCAATAACATAGATAACTAATATGTAACAATATAAATATTACATTATGCATTTTTAATTGAAGTCCAGATTTGCAAAACAGTCAAATTTTGGAAATTTATTCCACATCATACTTTTTGATTAAGATGGCTATTTTATTGGACGATGTCTTTGTGCATGGATTTCATTCTTTATGTAGCACGTTTTTAAGGAAGTATCATTCAGCCATTAAAATGTTTTTTAAACAAAAAACGGAGATTGACCTATCTGTAACCGCCGCCGAAACGGGAGAATAGTTAATGACTTTGACTGCCGTACCGAAGGGCAAGACATGGATTGTCTGTCCCTTCATAGGAGGTAATGGTGGCCGCTTACTTAGATGCTTTTATTTAAAATGACCACCGCTTCTGGCCTTAGTAGTGGCGAGAGCCTAAAAAGGCTAGTCCCCGCCGTTTATAAAAAAGTACTTTGGACCAGTATCTCAGGTTCTTGTGGTAGTCATCTCGGTATGTTGTGACCAAAAGTATCTTTCATCATCTCAGTATCTTTATCGCGTATAAAGAAATAAATCAGAGCAGTTATGAAAAGAAAAAGATCTGAAAGCTTTCTGATTATATTTTACACCCAAGGAGCGTTTTATAATGTTTTATGTGTAACCTTTTTTTTAATTAAATATTCTTGCTACTTAAATCATAAAATTCAATTCTACAGCAATATCACAAAATAATTAAAAAGACCATATTTTTAGAATTTCCGATACACAGTCTAGTACGCTGGAGATAAAAATGTTTTTTTTTTTTTTTTTTTTTTTTTTTTTTTTTTTGCGTACAGTGTTGCCATTGCTCGCTTTGAAATCGTTGAGTTTGTTAATAAAAAATTCGTGAGGTTTTACAAAATATGTAATGGATTATAAAAGAAATTCCATACTTGAGTTTCCAGGTGTCCATCTTCGAGTGCAGGAGTGTCCATTATTCAAAATTTGATGCGCCTAGTTACCATCATTTTTTCACAGTGCGAGAAACATACATACATTCATACACATTTTTCATTATTTAATTTCTTTAACTAAAACACAGAGCGATAATATGTGGTAGCAATAATTTGAAAAGTCATTCCCCGTTTATAGCGAACCAGCCAAAATGTCAAAACGAAATTAATACCCCTTCTGGGCAAGTTGCCACTTTGCGCTAAAAATCCCTATATGTGACTTTGGAAAACGACTTTTATTTCAAATGTTTAGGATAACCGAGGGCAGTTCAAACTTCTGGTTTGGATTTTTAGAACAGGGTTAATTTGCTACAAGTGATTGCAACAGTTCTGATGAAAAGTAGTGTAAAAATTTACGTTCGAAGATAATTTAGCAATTATGATTAAAGTAATAAAAGAATAGCTGTAAAATCCTAAATTCTTGCATTTATTGGACATGCGCTGAAAAAATTATGGTAACTGAGAAATCTCTGAAAAATCTTGTAAGATTCCCGAAAATTATCACGGAGATTCACGCTGCCATATTTAACATATCAGTTATGATTATTTTTTTTTTCAATTGGATAAAACCTAACGCGTTACCTTTTTCCTTTTAAAATAACATACTCAATTTTGCATTGGAAACGCACTGTAACATTTTAAATAGTTAGAATTTATTCGAACTAACTGAGAGACATATTGGATAACTTTGTTTTTTATTATCCTCATTCCATATAACCCATGTTAGCCTGATTATGTCAAAAAATTGAAATGGCTAATTTTACCCACATCCTGTACGACAATATTATGATTGTTAAATAATATAAATTTGTAAAATTATGCTTTTAAACTTCAGCATTTCGACTTATAGAAAGTAATAAACAAAGTTACTTAAAGGAAATAACGAAAAATTATGAAAAAAGAATTATTTGGGTTTTTATTATAATTATTAATATTTAAGCTATTAATCAACTGTATTAAAGTTGAAGCTCAGCAAAAGCATAAAGAAAATTATTAATATTTTATTTTAAATGCAGAAAAGCAATACAAAAAATTTAACTAAAAAACTTGTATATAAAAAATTTAATACCTTATAAAAATTCTTAGGATTCCAGTTTCAGAAAAACTCTTTTGCAATGCTATCGACATTAATCAACTGACGAACTTTCTCATAAAATGGCTGCGTTTATTACGAGAAGACTAGCAAAGGAATTTTTCAAACAAAAGAATTTATGAACGCTTAAAAGATCATCTAGTTAGAAAAAGCGTGTGTTTAATAATAATTACTGTTTTTTTCCTTGATTCATTTGAAATTGTACAAATCAGTAATGCTGCTTTTGTAATTTTTTAATGAAATAATCACTTTCGAAATCTCACCAAAAGTATAAAATATTAATTATGCTATTTTTTCCGTTTTTCACTTGCATCAAATGACTCGTATGGAAATGGGGGGAGGGAAAAAATACAGAACATTCTATGTTCCCCTTAAAACTTCATTTTTTCTTCCTGTAAACTTTCTTTGTTTCCTTTAAAGTATTTTCCCCCGTGTTTTGTTGAATCGTGCGGGTTGTGAAAATCTTTAAACATGTGCTATAAATTTTATTCCTTAGATACGAGCATTCCTTCTTATTTGTACAGATTTATCTGGAACTGTTTCTGTAATAGTTTGCAAACACTGTGTTCAGAATCCTTATATATGGATATTTAAATACAAATACTTCTTGCTTTTAAGACAGTCTTAATTTTTGCAGAAATTGGAGATTTCTCAAAAAGAGAATTAAGGCTCCTTTTTTATTATTATTTTAATTTATAAATGTATTTTGAGCTCCTAAAAAGTAAAGCATTTAATTGTAGTTTTTCGTAATGTTGTTGAAAATTTAATAATTTAGTTTATATACAAAGTATTTTACTAATTATCATCCCTTCCAAAGAGAAAAATTAAACTTTTTCTTTCTAGAAACGTAAATTTTGTTTTCAAAACTGTATTTTTTTTTCCTTCTACGCCAACATTAAAAAGAATTTTCGTCTTCAAATTACCGTAAACTATATGATAGTAAAATAAACAAATACTTACGTTTAAAGTTATAGAATATGATAAAGTAAAAAGCAGATTACGCATGTATTATATTTCTGGTTAAGAATGAAAAAAATATAAAGTTGTTTCGTTGAATACAACAAAGTATGCTAGAGCTATATGCGTAAGCGAAATGATGCCTTCGTGGAAACTTTCTAAACAAAACTTGCTCATATTAACGTTACGCATTAATTGCCTCCAGTGCAGCCAATTCATTCGCTGATATATAAAATACAAGAAAATAAATATTGAAGGATTGAAAGCCGAGTTTACCTTTACATTATTAGCATAATAATCCTGCAGAATTTCACTTTTTCAGCTTTTGGGCGGAAATTTTGACTTTTTATTTGGGAAATAAATTTATGAGACTCTACTTGATCTGGAGTTAATTATTTTAGTAACTCCAACAGATGTAAAGCAAGTTCTAGCTATGCCTGGCAAACTTCAAAATCGTAGAAAATGTTTAAAAAACTTTTTCATTTAGACAGAATTTAGAATATAAATGCACTTTCTTGTGCACACAAAATCAACCACAACTCGTGATGATGCAACAATCAAATTCAAATTAAAACTTGGATCAGTTGTCAAAGACAACATAATTTAAATCTTACTCTAAGCTGGATCAGTAATTCAAATCGGAGCGTTAAATTTAATTTGTTGGCAGCGAATAACGCAAAGCCGAATGATTACAACTTATCAAAGCTGGCAGGAACTAGAAACAGCGTGCACACGTAAACAAAACCACGCTTCCTCTCTTACAATCCGAAAACCTCAGTTTACTAGCCAAACTCATTTACCAAGTAACGAAGAGAGTTTGTGCGGTTTTCATCACTCATTAAAAACAGCAGGCAAAAATCTTAAGCAACCATTTTACTCTTCAAAATCATCACTATTGGCTGAGTTTATATGTTCCCAACGAAACACAAGATAATAAAGGACCTTTTTGAAAAAATCCTATTTCTGTAGTCCTGAAATTGTGATACAGCCTCTATGACATCGTCGCGTTTTCGGAACTGCTGTTCCCACATGTTTATCCATGGCCAAAAACAAGCAATAGTCCGATCATCCGGGAAATAGGGTGGTTGAGGCAGAAGTTCTCAACCCTCAGGTTGAGTTTTGATCACATCTTAGGTCGCTTTTGCCGTGTAACATTATCGTGCAAATTCTGTTCTGTTGACCACTGCTGTTGACTTGCATTTCTGATGCAGTGCAGCTGAAACTCTTTGCAACTGTGACGACTAGACCTCGGCTGTTATGGTTTTTTCGCTTTCTATATATTCATACTGGACTATGCTAACGCTGATCCACCAAAGATACAGCATTACCTTCTTTTACTGAATGACCGGTTTACCGGCGAATGAGATCGAACCAGAAGTCGACCAGTGACCTCTTCTGGTTATCATACATAATCTATTTTTGTCACATGTCAAGATTTAGTGTAGGAACGAGGCTTTATTATGACACAACAACGACATGCAAGTGTTCAACCGTTGGAGCTTGATTTCCTCGGACAGGGTTTTGGGTACCCACTTGCTTAGTTTCCATGTCATCCCAAGGCTATGAAAATGTGATCGAATGGTTTCGCAGATATTCGAAACCCTTGTGAAAGCTTTTGGCAGGCTTGATGGAGATTCTACTTGATTTCCTCCTCCAGCTGGACTTTGTCG